TTCAAGAACAAGGGGCTAATTGAGTACTACGAAGCTCAGGGAATTACACAACAGTTCTTTGCAGCTAAAACACCACAGCAAAACGGTGTTGTAAAACGATGGAACAAGACCTTGGTGGAAGCAACCAGAACCATGCTAATACAGTCAAAGCTTCCTCATTTCATAAGCGCTGAAGCTATCAACACGGCTTGCTTCACACAGAACTGGACGGTGATTCATAAATGATCCGACAAGATGTCCTATGAGATTGTGTTCAAGCGACTCCCTAACATTGCCTTCTTCTGCATCTTCCGCTACAAGTGTTACATTATGAACAGCAAGGATGCTAGGGGACAGCTTGATTCGAAAGCAACTGAAGACAAAGAGGCTCAATCATCTTCTGAAGTAGGAGGACAGGGAGACGAGACAAGATCGGATGAGTACGTGGTATTAGATTCTCTGTTCGAGCACTTTTACAGTCAACCACGTGCATCACCAGCAACAACCACTACAAATTCTCAGACCTTCCTTTTATATGCTCCCACCGCAGAGGAAACACTCACTCCCACTCAGAATGATGATGAGCACACAGATGACGAAGCTGAATATGAACCATCTACCCCGCATAATGATCAACTTGAAGCAACTGCAACGCAAGAAACCCCAGAGGCACAACCAGATCAAGAATACACTGATCCAGATCATTCAATCATAACTCCACTACCTCTACAACATGAGAGAAAGTAAACGAGGGCACATCTGCCAGAACTAATAATTGGTGATCCATCAAAATGAATCAGTACCAGAACCGCTTCAGCCAATGAGTGCTTATATTCATGTTTCCTGAGTCAGAAAGAATCAACAAATATGACTGAAGCATTGGTTGATCCGGATTGGGTGATTGCAATGCAGAAAGAGATGAACCAGTCTGAAAGACTGAAAGTTTGGACACTGGTGCCTATGTCTTATAGAAAAACCATTATTGGCACCAAATGGGTATCCAAGAACAAGAAGGATGAGGACGGTGTGATTATCAGAAACAAGGCCCGCCTGGTAGCAAAAGGTTACAATCAACAAGAAGGAATCGACTACGATGAGACCTTTGCACCAGTGGCGAGGATTGAGGCCATCAGATTATCTCTTGATTATGTTGCTCACAAAAGATTCACCGTCTGTCAGATGAATGTAAAGACTGCATCTCTGAATGGAGACCTGAAAGAAGAGGTCTATGTAGCACAACTTGATGGATTCGTAGATCCCGAATGCCCCAAACCCTAGAACAAGATGAATACGATGAACTGGCCAATAAAAAGACATCATGGAAGAAATGATCATGTTAGGCTATGCTATGCCGATCAAGCTCATCTCCCAGGTCAAACCCGACAGACTACCACGACCATGGAGGACTCTGATGGCAACCTTGAACAAGTGCTGCATTGCCAAACACAATAGCTTCGGCATGTGTATCATCTATCTTCTACCTGCCTTCCATGGTGTGACATTCAACGAAAAATACGATTTTGTCTCGCTGATCTGGGACGACATAAAAAAAACATCAATCCATTCAACCATCTACCATACATGAGATGGTTATCTTTGCTGGTGCGACGTATCTGCAGAACAACTCCAATTATCCACAGAAGACTATCCACTTAGAACGTCAACACTTCAACCCTCAAGTATCTCAAGAAGATGACTGGGGATCCTACACTGGTACCTCTTACGGCCCCATGATGATCAGACTACGTCTGCTGAGGGCCACCCCCTAGGTGCTGAGGAGAATACCGATGACTCGTCTAGCGCAGCCAGATCACAACACGCTGACGATGAGGGCTCCGGGAGCATGGCTGAAGAGAACGACAACGATGACGATGATGAGGATGACGATGACGCAAATGCTAATGCTAAGAAAGCCAAGAAAGCCCCCGCAAAGAAAGGACGACTCATAATCAGGCTTTCTCGGGCTACAACACAAGAGCAGTCTCACCAAATCAAGGATACTCTAGGAAACATCATCAGTGAGACTCGCTCCAAGGTACGTCATGACAACCCCTCCTCATCATCAATTCCTATGCAAAGAGTGCAAACAGCAAGCAACTTGGCTGAAGAAATAGCCCTTTATGACAGTTGCTCCGACCTAGACACTATAAACCGGGCTAACCCCATAGGTGCAGAGACTGATATTTTCAGTTTCCGTGTAGAAGACGCAGCATCTAGCCCAACTGCGCATGCACAAACCACACCTAGCCACTCTGCTGCCTCCCAACAGGTAGTAGTTTCAACAATAGGGGATCTCATACCCACCTCTCTGCCCCCTTACGGAGTAGTTGAGGACATACAAAGTGGTCTATCACCCCGGACCACTACCCCTCCTTCTGCCACATTGAGTCTAGGTGTCACACTCCCTACATTTTCCAATTTTCTAGGACACATACACTCCTCACACCACCACACCCTACAGGTTCACTTTACCTGTTATCAACGATCGGAGATAAGTCGATGATGATCGGAAGTCCTGCTGCTCAACAGATAACTCAATCATTATTTGCAGGCCACACATCAGTAATCTTTACTGATGCTGTGATAACGGTTACTACCCCTGTAACCGGAAACCCTGACCCTATTGACGTTTCAGTCATTCTGCAGCGTTTCATGGATTCCACCATTAAGCCATGGGTGCACAAAGCAATAACCGCTCGGGCACAGGAATTCAGGAACACCCCGGCGCTTTTGAATGACATCATCCAACCCCAACCTCAACCCATCATCCTCACACTCCCAACAACAACAACTTACCCCTTTCCTTACACATCAAAATTCTGAACCCTCCACCACACAACTTACCACTCCCACCACCTCAAGGGGAACCCAGGATACAGAACTAGTGTCCTCCCCTATATCGACCACACCCTACCCTAATCCACGCATTATGGCTTTCGAGGAACTCCAATCTATTATGATAGCAAGAAACCGACAACACATGCAGTGACAGTCTCTGCGGTCACAAACGTTCACATGAGAACCCTGACGATTCGGATCCTCATGAGGGGGAGAACAAGAGGCAGCGAACACTTGAGCATGTTGCGTCAACTAGCCAACAACCACAACCTGAATCCTCAAACAACCAACAGCCCCAATCATCTAGCCAACCCAAAAGCCATACCACTCAACCCCTATTTTCTAGCATGGTCGAGCTAGATAGAACACTCTGAGGCTCATCTTTCATAGATGTAGACCAAGGATGGAGTGGAAGTCCTGAGGTTGCTACTTCATGTACATCATTATATTCAGGCCATCAGTTAGAACCTAATTCTGATCTGATGTCAACGGGCAATCCAAGTGATCCCGGTTCTACCTCTCACAGATCACCGAAGCAACAGGCTCCCTCTGAACATCAAGCTGAACATCAAGCCCCATTCACCCATGATCAATTAGAAGAGATTATCCTCGATGAGAGATGGAACGCAGAATGGACAGAATGGGATGATATCAAACAGGAGGTTGAGCAATACAAAATACGGATAAATGCAAGGTTTCTCTCAAGGATGCACATTTTTTAGGGGGAATTTTTTCTATTTTCTCCTCCCGGTGACGAACAATGACAAAGCATACTGAGTGCTCCAGTTGAGGGGGAGCACAGAGAGAAAATAAACAAGATAATGAGAGATAAGTCCCAATGACTTAGTAAACCCAACTAAGACTACCCAAGGGACAAAGCCGAAAGTGAGTGAATGAGTGAATATTATGAGAGTGAGGAAGCAGAAGGCTCCGATGAGCAAGAAGACAATAATCAATGACAAATCTGCTACCTCAAATGAGCTATCAATCGAGGAATCAATCCCAGTCACTCAAATACTCCGGACAATCCCCATAGGTTCAGGACTGAATTTATTCAGATCCCGGGTAGAAGTCGCTGCATTTTGTCCAAACAGCGCGTGCACAACCCTACCCTAGACCACTCACTTGTCTCCCAACAGACAGGTGTTTAATCACTGTTCACGGGGAACCTCATCTCTTATCATCGTCTCCTTCTGAGGCGACTGATACTGACTACAATGGCCCTCAGCCCCACGCCACTGAACTTTCATTGATCACGTTGTGTCTAGTTATCTGACTCCTAAATGTTTTGAATTTTCTAGGACACAGACACATTTTTAGAGTCAGTTGCAGGTCCAAGTGACCATGCGAGAACTTCCATAGGCTCATCTTCTATAGATGCAGACCGATGATTGGATGGAAGTCCTGATGTTGCAACATAGAAATCACCAACATTTTCAGGCCATCATTTAGAGTTCATCTCTATAGTGATGATAACGGGTGTCTACATGATCCCGGGGGACTACAATTATCCATGTTGATCCTAGTGATCATGCCATAACGACCAGAGTGACATCTACTTCAGATGTTTCACAATGATTGGTTGGAAGTCCTGTTAGAGCTACAACGTTTCTATCATTATATACAGGCCACACATCAATGTTTACACTGATGTTGTGTCAACGGAACACCACAGTGTCTCCGGTTCTTATCTTTTCATTTTTTTTGCATTTTCAGTTTTCCAGAATAAAAGAAGCAAGAACATCTGATCACAAAGGGGGAGATTGTTAGAGATATTTTTATTGTAATTGTGATCAATGTTTACCTTGCTAGTTTATAGTTAGCTTTTATAATAAATAGGCCTTTTTAGGCAAAATGTAATAAAGGCTTTCATGCCTTTTTAGGTATGGGCCTCCTAAAAAAAGGAGCCCAAATGATTGTAAAACCTACCTTTCCCGTCAGGCTATATATATGCCTTAAGGGAAAGACTAGGTTAAGCTTTTCGTAACATTCCTAGTGCCGCAGTGCCTATTTGCGTGTAAGGTTTTTACGCTTAACATTCATATCATTCTGTAAAACCTTCACATCAATGGAAAGCTTCAAACACAGATCTATCTTCCATACATACATTCTAGACTAGAAAACAGGGACCTAACACAGTATATATATTTCAGAAAATCATTTGATTGTCTTCCCAGTATAATTTTTTCTGAACTTTGGTATGAACAAAGTAGACTTAATGAATAAAATTAAAAAATAAATCATCAAAAAATTCCATCAGGAACCGCCCCAAAAGGCGACGGCCGGACAGAGTGTCACGCCCCAGACCGCAATCCAAGCGCGTGTACAACCGCCGTATAATCAAGTGACGTCACCCGCGAGTCAACCTCACTTAATTACACAAGGCGTTCGAGAATATAAACCATCCATACTCAGTAGTAAACATACATAACAACATCACACTTAAACCAATGAATAGCGGAAATATTCAACGGTAAGTCATAAGCCACAACCGGCCAACAACGTACATGGGCATGCAAGCCCCAAAAGTAGTTTATAACAACTAAAAAAAATATCCATGAGCAATGTTTAGTCATTTGAAAGGAAATGAGGAAGCACGAACCACGTCTTCCTTGACTTGATGTCACCCGTAGAAAGGTGCAGGTAGCAAGCCCTAGCTTCAACCTGAAAATGGTGGGCCCCCCCGAAGGGGTCAGTACAAGTACCGAGCGAGTAGCAGGCTAAATATAGAATAACTAGCGTTTCAAGTATAAGACCCAAACATAGGATGATACATATACGTATAGTCTTTCCCCCAAGTTTGAAACACATATTAGTATACATACACTTGGAAATACCCGACCCGTAGGTCATTGTTTATTTGGGAAAACAATAGTAGCCCATATCCTTGACTTAAATCCCAACCCACCCATATACCTATGAGTGTATAGAACTCCTCCTTGTTCAAATAAATCATCATAAGGACACCGCCCGGTCCTAGATCATTAAATGTAATCTATGAGTTTTGAGGATACACGCCCGATCCTTGGGTACTCCACCCTATAATTGAGTTTTGAGGATAACCGCCCGATCCTTGGGTACTCCACCCTATATAACCGAGTTTTGAGGATAACCGCCCGATCCTTGGGTACTCCACCCTATATAACCGAGTTTTGAGGATAACCGCCCGATCCTTGGGTACTCCACCCTATATAACCGAGTTTTGAGGATAACCGCCCGATCCTTGGGTACTCCACCCGATAATTGACTTACCACATATCACACTAGATAGGGTCTATATCATATTTAGCCATTCATAACTAATTCAATACATAAAACTTATGTATCACATTCCATGCAAAGCCATACAATTATGTAAATGTACAATTAATTAATATCGACCGGTATTAATTAATCCATTATCCACCGGTCAACGTGGTCGTTGACCGCCATTACAAACCTTGTACAAATCAACTTAATCATCACATAATTAAGTTAAAATATTCATTTGTGCTTCTAATACACTTCAAGCAAATATGTATTTTATATAATTCTTCATATCATATTCTATGCATAAACAATCTATTTCTTTCATACAAACTTAACCCTATTGGCTAATCACATGTTTAAATATCTTTTAAACATCATTATGAATTCATATAACATTTATTTAGGTAATCTTATAATTAACCCAAAAGTTATAAGATATTAAGCCGTCCACTCACCTTGAACTAGCGTATGAAGTTCTACCCTTCTTGGTTGAACTCCGGTGAAACTCCGGTGACTTTTGGTCAACTCCGGCGACAACTCCGGCGACTTTTCCAACTTTGTGAAATCACTTGAAATACCCTTTACAAGTGCCTAACAAGGTTTTATAATCATAAAACCCATATTAATACAAATAACCTCTAAAAGGTCATTTTCCGGTGAACCGGTCGTTTTGGCTTCTAAGTCCGTTCTTGGACTTAGAACCATCTTCCAACCCATTAATCCATACTTATAACATGTAAAACCCTCTTAAGGATTCTTCACATGATATATATCTTATATGGTAGAAGAAAATAAAGGAAAAGTTATAATAAGGTCATTACCTTAATTATTTCACACTTTTAGCACTTTAGCTCCTTTTTTGGGTGATTCTTCCTTGATGATTTCTCTTCAACAATGGAGGGAGGAGGATGAGGAGCTTCCTTGCTCTTGGTTGGTGTGCCTTGGCCGAAATAGAGAGGGGAGAGAGGGATGGGGATGGACTTTTGTCTCATTGATCTAATGAGTGCAAAAATGGGGGTCCACCTAGGTACTTTTGATGCCATTCCCTTCTTATCAACATCCTCCTCCCATGTTCTCTTCATGCACCAGCCGACCCTCCCTCAATTTTGAGTGGAAAAAATCGTGGGTTGGCCCCCACTCATGTGGGGGGTCAACCCTTTTTGTCCCGAAGTGTACAATTGGTCCCGAAAGTTGTATTTTTCGGACTGTTTTAAATATATTTTATTTTATCGGGTCAAATAAAATATATTATGGGCTCTTACTCATTATGACATGTATCATGAATATACATTCCCCAACTTTAATTTATAAGTCTCCGAAATTCAGTTCGGGCTGTTATCTGTTAAATTATCAGTACCGGTAATTTGGGCTTCTTTTGACCAATCGGTCAACTACGGGCCTTTCCATGGCCCAAATGAAATATCCACCACCATATATTTATTATCTAGACCAAGATGAATAAAATATATGGTCTCGGGAAAGTCGGGCGGCCCCCGCTCCCAGTGTGGGTCCCACGTGCAATTTACTATTCACGCGAAAGAAATAATAAAAATTTACAACCCCGTAAATTTATAAATCATTCCATAAGGTTTATTACATCATTTACGTAAAAGTAAATACATTTGGGGACGGTGTTACAAGTTCACCCCCCCTTATTTGGGATTTCGTCCCCGAAATCCACGCGTCTAATCGAAAAGGAATGGGTATTGCTCCCTCATTGAGACCTCGGTCTCCCAAGTTTCCTCTTCGACTCGATCACTCCTCCAAAGAACCTTAACCATAGGAATCTCCTTGTTCCTAAGTTTTTTCACTTGTTGACCAACAATCTTCACTGGTTCCACCGCATAATGCAAGTCCTCTCGGATCTCCACCGGTGGTTTCTCAAGAATATGAGATGGGTCTCGTATGTACTTCTTGAGCATTGATACATGAAACACATCATGTATCTTCTCAAGTTCCGGCGTTAACTTGAGACGATAAGCTACGGCTCCAATCCTTTCAAGGATCTCAAATGGACCAATGTATCGGGGGTTAAGCTTTCCCCTCGATACAAATCGAATGATGCCCTTCCAAGGAGAAATCCTTAGGAAGACCTCATCACCGACTTCGAACTCCAACGGTCTCCGCCGTTTATCAGCATAACTCTTCTGTCGGTCCTGAGCAGCCTTCAATCTATCCCGAATGATCCTTACCTTGGCCTTGGTGATCTCAACCAGCTCTACCCCTTCGAGTTTGGCCTCGCCAACCTCGTCCCAACACAATGGTGTCCTGCATTTCCTCCCATATAATGCCTCATATGGTGGCATGCCGATACTCGCTTGATAACTGTTGTTATAAGCAAACTCCACTAGGGCCAAATGCTTGTCCCAACTTCCTTGGAATTCCAGCGCACATGCCCTAAGCATGTCTTCCAAAATCTGTATCACCCGTTCGGACTGTCCATCCGTCTGTGGGTGAAAAGTTGTGCTAAACCTCAGTTTAGTACCCAACGATGCTTGAAACTTTGGCCAAAATCGGGATGTGAATCGTGGATCCCTATCCGAGACAATGGATATCGGGACTCCATGTAATCTCACGATCTCCTCCGTGTAGAGCTTGGCCAATCTTTCAAGAGGATAAGTAATGTTGATAGGCAAAAAGTGTGCACTCTTGGTGAGCCTATCAACTACTACCCAAACTGCATCATAGTTGTTCACTGTTCGTGGTAGCCCCACCACGAAGTCCATGGTCACGTGCTCCCACTTCCACTCTGGGATGGTGAGTGGTTGCAAAAGCCCTGCCGGGTGCTGATGTTCTGCCTTAACTTGCTGGCAAGTAAGGCATCGACTCACATGCTCTGCGATGTCTCTCTTCATACCTGACCACCAGTAACTTTCCTTCAAATCTCGGTACATCTTAGTACCTCCTGGATGCATAGCATAAGCTGAAGAATGAGCCTCCTCAAGTATAGATTTCTGGAGTTCCTCATTCCTTGGTATGCACACACGATCCTTAAACAGTAACAGACCGTCATCACGTACCCGAAAATTCTCAACGGGTCCTTCAAGGATCCTTTCACGGATCTTCTGACATTCCTCATCAATGGCCTGACTTCGACTAATCTCGCCCAATAGGGTGGGCCTAACCTCAAATTGAGCAATGAGAGCCCCGCACGTGGACACCTCCACGCGTGCCCTCAATGCCTGCAGACAAGTAAGCAACGTCCCTGACGTACTCTTCCTGCTCAGTGCGTCGGCCACTACGTTGGCCTTTCCGGGATGATAGTCGATGATCAAGTCATAGTCCTTGATCAACTCCATCCATCTCCTTTGTCTCATATTCAACTCTTTCTGAGTGAATACATACTTCAGGCTCTTATGATCAGTATAAATGTGACACGTCTCCCCGTAGAGATAATGCCTCCAAATCTTCAATGCAAACACTACCGCCCCCAACTCTAGATCGTGAGTAGGGTAGTTCACCTCGTGTTTCCTCAATTGCCTAGAAGCATAGGCAATCACCTTACCGTTTTGCATCAGTACACATCCAAGCCCTTGGATGCTAGCGTCGCTATAAATGTCATACCCTATCCCCTGTATGGGTAGGGCAAGGACTGGTGCTTCGGTAAGTCGTTTCTTCAATTCAAGGAACCCCTTCTCACATTTGTCGTCCCATATGAACTTGGCCCCTTTCTTTGTGAGCTTCGTTAATGGGGACGCCAATACGGAGAATTTTTCCACAAATTTACGATAGTATCCCGCTAAGCCAAGGAAACTACGTATCTCCTTCGCATTCCTGGGTCTCTCCCAATCCATGATCGCTTTTATCTTGGCGTTATCCACAGCAACACCTGAACCGGATATGACATGACCGAGGAAACCAATCTCTTTGAGCCAAAATTCGCATTTGGAGAACTTGGCGAAGAGTTGCTTTTCCCTTAGCCGATCAAGTACAAGCCTCAAATGGTGTTCGTGCTCTTCCTCACTCTTGGAGTATATCAAGATGTCGTCAATGAATACTATCACAAATTGGTCTAAGTATTCACTAAACACACGGTTCATCAAGTCCATGAATGCCGCCGATGCGTTGGTTAAACCAAACGACATCACAAGGAATTCATAATGACCATATCTAGTGCGAAATGCACTCTTAGGTATGTCACTCTCCTTGATCTTCAACTGATGATACCCCGACCTCAAGTCAATCTTCGAGAACACTATTGCTCCTCGAAGTTGATCGAACAAGTCATCAATCCTCGGTAAGGGATACCTGTTCTTGATGGTGACCTTGTTCAACTGTCGGTAGTCGATACACATTCTTAGTGTACCATCTTTCTTCTTTACGAATAGTACGGGTGCTCCCCACGGTGAATGACTGGGTCTGATGAACCCATTGTCCAGTAATTCTTGTAGTTGGACCTTCAACTCTTGGAGTTCGGCCGGCGCCATTCGATAAGGAGGAATCGAAATGGGTTTGGTTCCCGGCTCCACTTCGATTACAAATTCAATCTCTCTATCGGGTGGAAGCCCCGGTAGGTCCTTGGGAAAGACGTCCGGGTACTTGCACACGACTCGAACATCCTTGATGTCGACTTCTTTCTTCGTATCATCTACCACATAAGCAAGGTATGCGTGGCATCCCTTCCTCATCATCTTTCGTGCTCTCATCACGGATATGATACAAGCATTAGACTTCCCCCGATCTCCTTCAAAACGTAGCATATTCCCTTGACCATCCTCAAGCTCCAACACCTTGGTGTAGCAATCTACTCGAGCATGGTGCTTCTCAAGCCAATCCATTCCTAGGATTGCATCGAACTCCAACATGCTTAGAGGTACGAAATCACAAGTCAAGGGTTGACCCGTCACTTCCACCTCACACGATGGATAGTAATAATTTCTCTCCACATCGTCTCCTAACGGTGTGGAGACTAGCAACGTTTGCGTCATAGGTGTCAATGGCACGTCAAGGCCCTCGGCGAACGCCTCACTCACAAATGAGCGTTGTGCCCCGGTATCGATGAGGATCCTCGCACACCTACCATTGATCTTTAATGTTCCTACATTTATACACCATGTAAGATACATTTTCTAATGTTTTTACACATCATTAAGATGTTATTATGTTCATACTAATGTTTGGGATCAAACGGGGGTCCAAACGTAGAAGAACGGGGCGAAAAAATAAAGTTTCAGGTGCCAGGGGTCCACGCACGGCGTGCGTAGGGGGTACGCACGGTCGTGCGTACCTTGTCTTACCAATGGAGGCTACTGCCCCCAACGCACGGAGGGACGCACGGGCAACGCACGGCCGGGCGTGCAGCGATTCCCTCCGGGGTGCTACTGCCACCAATGCACGGAGGTGCGCACGGGCAACGCACGGCCGGGCGTGCAGCGAATTTCCTCCGGGGTGCTACTGCCACCAACGCACGGAGGTACACACGGGCAACGCACGGCCGGGCGTGCAGCGATTTTCCTCCGGGGTGCTACTGCCACCAACGCACGGAGGTACGCACGGGCAACGCACGGCCGGGCGTGCAGCGATTCCCTCCGGGGTGCTACTGCCACCAACGCACGGAGGTACGCACGGGCAACGCACGGCCGGGCGTGCAGCGATTCCCTCCGGGGTGCTACTGCCACCAACGCACGGAGGTACGCACGGGCAACGCACGGCCGTGCGTGCAGCCCAGCCTGTAGTGCGTTGGCAGAAATCAGCCCGATTTCGCCCAATTTCGCCCAATTTCGCTCCGTTTGGTCCCGGGGTGGCCCGAACTCAACCCCCAACGGTGTATATGATCAAACTAAGCCTAGAAATACATGGGAATACGTGTATTACCTGCAACGGAGTCCGGGTTTGCTCGCGCATCCGCCTCGGTCATCGCGTAGACTCGTGCTTGGGTCCCACCTTGGAATTGGTTGACGGATGCGGCATGGCTTGTGGATGCACCGCCTCTTCCCGTGCCGCCGTTTGACGGTCCCGCACGGTTCCTTCCCGTCATGGTCCCTCCCCCGGCTCCTGAGGCACTCTCTTGCATCAATTGAGGGCAATTGGCCTTCATATGGCCCGCATTCCCGCACTTAAAACACCTCGGTGGTTCATTGCACTTTCCAAAGTGTTGTTTTGAGCAATTGGGACATCTAGGTGGCCCCGAGTTCTGTGGCCTAGGTCCGTGCCACCTCGCATCCCTATTCTTCTTTGCCGGTGGAGCCGGCGCCTTGAATGAACCACCGCCACCGCCGTGGTTGTTCCTTCGAGAATGGTCGGGTGGCCCCAAATTATTCCATTTCCTCTTCTTCGCCTCTTCGGCGTCCCTTGCTTTCCTCTCATTCCACTGGGCCTCTCCAAGCATGCCCTGCTCTACCACCTCACTAAAGGTCATGAGGCGGGAATACGTGGCACGATCTCGGATGTCCAAGAGTAAGGCATCCCAAAAGTGCTCAGTCATGCGGTCCTCATCGATCGCATACTCCGGCAAGAACCTAGCCAAGGTCCTAAATTCTTGCTCCAGTTGCTTAACCGTGCAACCCTCTTTCTGCTTGAGGTTGGTGTACTCCCTCCTCTTCACATTAACCTCGAAATCGGAGTAGTATTGAGCATAAAATTCTTGCTCAAAATTTTCCCATGAGATGTCCCCACGGTATTTCCCTTCTACACCTTCCCACCATGTAGAAGCCATCCCCTCAAGTAGCCGTGAAGCGACAGTTAGCTTCACGTCCGGAGTAATCTGCATGTCTCTCGATGCATCCTTCACTTTCTTGATCCAATCGGCGGCAACGGTAATGTCACCGGTGCCGTCAAAGGACCTACACCCCAAGGCCCTAGCCTCCTTGAGGTACTTGGAGATTCTCACAACAAAACCCCCTTCACGCCCATCTTGTGACGCCGCTGGGGTGGCCACGGAAGCTCCCCGGCTTCCTTGACCCGAACCTCCACGAGAGCCACGCCTCGCTTGGCGCCTAAGGTCTCTCCTCAGTTTCTCTTTCTGATACCACTCAAGTAATTCACCCATTTGGGCGAAGCGGGCATCACTTTCATCATTGTCCTCATCGGTGTATGTGTCACCTCCATCATATGGGGTCTCCTCATGCTCTGTCTCAGGAACATACGTAGAGTCATAGTCCTCGGTGTTGGTTTCATACACCGAGCTTACATGGCCATCACTCACAGTTTGAGCTTGATGACCTCCACGGCTTCCACGGCCTCCACGGCCTCCTCTTGAACCCCGAGATGCAGCCCGGCTTCCCCTTTGGGATGTTACCGGCGCCTGCCCCCTCGGATTGTTCCTGGTCCGCATTCGCCTGCCCTCCATTTCTGAAAGAAATATGGATGAGTCATCAGACTCCTATAAATGTCAATTGACGGAAGAACGTTACAGACACGTATTGGCCCAAGTCACCACCATACCAATTGTTAAGGGTACCGTCTTAACAATTAGAGGCCTTGCAACTTAAGCACCAATAGTCCCATAAACGTCAAAATACTATGCTCATGGTTTTCGGTAAAAACTCTTTTGTAAAATTTTTTGTGAGAGGTTGATCATATAGTTTAGAACTGAGATGGCTCTGATACCACTTAATTGTCACGCCCCAGACCGCAATCCAAGCGCGTGTACAACCGCCGTATAATCAAGTGACGTCACCCGCGAGTCAACCTCACTTAATTACACAAGGCGTTCGAGAATATAAACCATCCATACTCAGTAGTAAACATACATAACAACATCACACTTAAACCAATGAATAGCGGAAATATTCAACGGTAAGTCATAAGCCACAACCGGCCAACAACGTACATGGGCATGCAAGCCCCAAAAGTAGTTTATAACAACTAAAAAAAATATCCATGAGCAATGTTTAGTCATTTGAAAGGAAATGAGGAAGCACGAACCACGTCTTCCTTGACTTGATGTCACCCGTAGAAAGGTGCAGGTAGCAAGCCCTAGCTTCAACCTGAAAATGGTGGGGCCCCCCGAAGGGGTCAGTACAAGTACCGAGCGAGTAGCAGGCTAAATATAGAATAACTAGCGTTTCAAGTATAAGACCCAAACATAGGATGATACATATACGTATAGTCTTTCCCCCAAGTTTGAAACACATATTAGTATACATACACTTGGAAATACCCGACCCGTAGGTCATTGTTTATTTGGGAAAACAATAGTAGCCCATATCCTTGACTTAAATCCCAACCCACCCATATACCTATGAGTGTATAGAACTCCTCCTTGTTCAAATAAATCATCATAAGGACACCGCCCGGTCCTAGATCATTAAATGTAATCTATGAGTTTTGAGGATACACGCCCGATCCTTGGGTACTCCACCCTATAATTGAGTTTTGAGGATAACCGCCCGATCCTTGGGTACTCCACCCTATATAACCGAGTTTTGAGGATAACCGCCCGATCCTTGGGTACTCCACCCTATATAACCGAGTTTTGAGGATAACCGCCCGATCCTTGGGTACTCCACCCTATATAACCGAGTTTTGAGGATAACCGCCCGATCCTTGGGTACTCCACCCGATAATTGACTTACCACATATCACACTAGATAGGGTCTATATCATATTTAGCCATTCATAACTAATTCAATACATAAAACTTATGTATCACATTCCATGCAAAGCCATACAATTATGTAAATGTACAATTAATTAATATCGACCGGTATTAATTAATCCATTATCCACCGGTCAACGTGGTCGTTGACCGCCATTACAAACCTTGTACAAATCAACTTAATCATCACATAATTAAGTTAAAATATTCATTTGTGCTTCTAATACACTTCAAGCAAATATGTATTTTATATAATTCTTCATATCATATTCTATGCATAAACAATCTATTTCTTTCATACAAACTTAACCCTATTGGCTAATCACATGTTTAAATATCTTTTAAACATCATTATGAATTCATATAACATTTATTTAGGTAATCTTATAATTAACCCAAAAGTTATAAGATATTAAGCCGTCCACTCACCTTGAACTAGCGTATGAAGTTCTACCCTTCTTGGTTGAACTCCGGTGAAACTCCGGTGACTTTTGGTCAACTCCGGCGACAACTCCGGCGACTTTTCCAACTTTGTGAAATCACTTGAAATACCCTTTACAAGTGCCTAACAAGGTTTTATAATCATAAAACCCATATTAATACAAATAACCTCTAAAAGGTCATTTTCCGGTGAACCGGTCGTTTTGGCTTCTAAGTCCGTTCTTGGACTTAGAACCATCTTCCAACCCATTAATCCATACTTATAACATGTAAAACCCTCTTAAGGATTCTTCACATGATATATATCTTATATGGTAGAAGAAAATAAAGGAAAAGTTATAATAAGGTCATTACCTTAATTATTTCACACTTTTAGCACTTTAGCTCCTTTTTTGGGTGATTCTTCCTTGATGATTTCTCTTCAACAATGGAGGGAGGAGGATGAGGAGCTTCCTTGCTCTTGGTTGGTGTGCCTTGGCCGAAATAGAGAGGGGAGAGAGGGATGGGGATGGACTTTTGTCTCATTGATCTAATGAGTGCAAAAATGGGGGTCCACCTAGGTACTTTTGATGCCATTCCCTTCTTATCAACATCCTCCTCCCATGTTCTCTTCATGCACCAGCCGACCCTCCCTCAATTTTGAGTGGAAAAAATCGTGGGTTGGCCCCCACTCATGTGGGGGTCAACCCTTTTTGTCCCGAAGTGTACAATTGGTCCCGAAAGTTGTATTTTTCGGACTGTTTTAAATATATTTTATTTTATCGGGTCAAATAAAATATATTATGGGCTCTTACTCATTATGACATGTATCATGAATATACATTCCCCAACTTTAATTTATAAGTCTCCGAAATTCAGTTCGGGCTGTTATCTGTTAAATTATCAGTACCGGTAATTTGGGCTTCTTTTGACCAATCGGTCAACTACGGGCCTTTCCATGGCCCAAATGAAATATCCACCACCATATATTTATTATCTAGACCAAGATGAATAAAATATATGGTCTCGGGAAAGTCGGGCGGCCCCCGCTCCCAGTGTGGGTCCCACGTGCAATTTACTATTCACGCGAAAGAAATAATAAAAATTTACAACCCCGTAAATTTATAAATCATTCCATAAGGTTTATTACATCATTTACGTAAAAGTAAATACATTTGGGGACGGTGTTACACAGAGCCTCCTATATAATGGATGATTTGCTCTTTTTATGTAAGTTCGATGGCTTATTTTTTAGTTTTCCCTACTAACTATCACGTATGATTTATTATGTTATTGCGTATGTAATTTATCTATTTTCGTAGAAGGTTTTGTTTGTCCATTTTCTAATTAAATTTTTGTCAATATATTGTATTGTATTTGTATATGCATTTAATTTCATTATTTTTATATTTAAATTATTTTGAAGGCATTAGATTTACTGAGAGATTTATTTACAATGTTCTATAAGAGGTTCTTTCAAAAAAAAATTATTAGATAAATTATTTGTCCTTTTGGTTATAATTATAGCTGTTAGTTTCACTATAAATATAATTCTTATCCTTACTATGACTTTTTGCATAATTTTAATATACTAATTTTGTTTAATTAGAAAAGTATAATTTACGATTTTTAAATAGGTATATGAAAATGTGTATAATTTTTAAAGTAGACAAAAATATGTTCTTCGCTAGCTAGGGTTGCCGCTCGGGCTTCCTAGAGTAGCGTTTTGATTTTCCGTTTTCGTCCAAGGATGAAGAACAGTGTGAGGCAAAGCCGCGGTCTTGACAATATCTTTGGCGTTGAGGACGAAGGCTGGAGCGGGGGTAGGCTGAAGACGGTCGACAATAATGAGGGGGATGGCAGAGTATATCGGTGCTCCTTGTTAACATCGGTTGAAGGCGGAGTCCATTAACACCAAGGGATGGTGAGGGTTGGGTTGAGTTTCTGGTATGCAGTGGGGCTGATTCAGAGGACCCCTATGACTGATTGTCCTCGATCTTCCTTTGCGGCTGTGGATTGCATCGTTGATATCTAAGACTTTAATCATGTTTGTGTTCGGGCCGGCGGTGTTGATTGCGTTGATGGATGTGGTGGCTATGAGGATGGACGAGAGATGGATGGTTGAGAACGCCCTATGTTTGATGGTTTTCGAATAGGATGGACGGCGTTTGAGGAGGCTCAATCGAGGTGCTGTGGGTGCTCTGTTTTGCATTTTAGGAATAAAACTTTAGAGTGCAAATGTTTGTGTTGTTGGAGTATGGTTAGTAGCTCCATTGGTGTAGGTAGTATTTGCAGGGGGGATAAAAGATCTATTGGCAATTGTGGTAGTGACTTGGCAGAAGAGAATTCAAGAGGCAATGTTGAAGATGAAGGAAAAAGATGAAGTGCCGACTGTCCGTCCCCCTCCGGAACCACCGCCAAGAAGAGTGTTCCTACTGAAGAAGACAATCTTTGCGTTTTATTTTATTGTTGTTTTGCATTTTAATTTCCACGTGGTGATTGTTGTTTTTTTATTTTATTTTATTTACTGCTGTAAGACTTATGCACTTGGATTGGGGGATGAGAGGTCTGCGATAACCGTCGTTGGTTTGATTATGCCCAAGTTAGGATCAGCGAGTTATATCACTTTGTCAAAGGTGGTTAGATTTGAGTCTGGTCCAAGAGCGGATGATTACATGTGATTCTTTTGTTATTTCAAAATTCAAACCCTATCTGATTGCTTTGAAAAATAACATCACCCTTGTTTTTCATCGAATAGTTTCGAGCACTGAATTCCTTGAATTTACTCAAAAGACTTTTTGAAACTATTTACATATCATTTTTCTTTGGGAAAATAGCCCCAAGTAGGAGTTCAAAACTTCCTAAAATCAATAATAGGACTGCTAATAAAATATTCCCAATCTAGGAGTCATTTACTCCTATTCCTATTTCCGTGTAGATGTCAATTGTCTTAATTACCCTCAATTAAAATTTTAGAAACCTGCCAGGCTGCCACGCAATTCCACCGTCAACTACCTTCCGTTTTTTAGTTGCTAGAAATCGATTCTCTTCCGGCTCGCAAGTCTCTTCTTCATTCTTCGCAGTTCATGATGTTCTTCAGAATCACTCCGCAAGTCGTAGTTGTTGTGTTGGATTGAATCCAAGAACGGCGAAATTCATCCATCTTACTCTTGTTCGTGAGGTTCGTCAACTATTTTGCTGGTACGAGTTAATCAATTCGTCCTTTTTCAAACGTTCATCTTCATCTAATTTTTCACCGCCATGTTCATGGCCTAAATTCTTCATATTGTTTTTGAATTTGTAACTTGATAGTTTAGTTATGATTGCACATTAATCTCTCTTTATTTTCACATTACCTTTTGTGCGTGTTTATTATCTGCTTTGTTTTCAACTACACATGTAGGTCATTCTATATTTCTGTATATTTGTTCTTATGTTTATCTCTGTGACGCTTAATTGTTGCACTATCATTCGTGCTTTTCTTCATGTTTTAAGTGTTATGCTTATTCAATTCTTTTTGTTTTGCTCTTGATCATAACTGCTAATTTGTAATTTTTTGTTTTTAACTGTCAGATTGCTATGTAATTGTGAAATACTTTCATTTTTGCTACAATTACAATTACATCTTTATTGATTTCCAAATTTTCTGAATTTATCATTGTTAGATGCTGAAGATGTTAGGATGCGTGCATGGCTTGAAAAAATTGGAGGCCAGAAATGGGCAAAATGTTTGGCTGGACCAAGTCGATTTAATGTCATGACCTCAAATTGCGCTGAGTCATTGAACAGCGTTAATGTTTGTGCACGAGAATACTGTGTGTCCAAACTTATTGATTTCTTGCGTGAAAGAATGCAAGAATGGTTTACCGAACGAAGGGAAAAAGCCGAATCTACACATACCATATTGTCTGAAAAAAATGAAAAGGTTCTTGTTGCTTTACAATTGGAATCAAGGTGCATGAAGGTATTTCATCTCGTTCTCTGTTGTGCTTTTTCAATTTAATTGCCTTGTTTAGTATAGTATTCTGCCAGGTACGTTTTTTGGCATTTTACGTTTTGGATTTCCATCTATGAATATCATATGCCACTATTTTACTCCCGCTACATATCCTCTTATCTCTCTGTTTGTAATTCCATATTTTTTATCTGTTTTAGTATAGTATTCTGCCATGCACTGTTTTTGGCATTTTACGCTTTGGATTTCCATCTTTGAATACCAAATGTCACGTCTGTACTCCTACTACATATCCTCTTATCTCTTTGTTTGTAACTCCATTTTTTTATCTGGTTTTTTATAAAAGTTTTTATTTTTTTTAGGTGAAGCCATCTTGTGCATACGAGTTTGAGGTTATTGATAGAAAGTGTAGATGCTTTGTTGTGAATCTTAATTCCAAAAGTTGTAGCTGTGGGCAATTTCAATTGGACCATTTTGTTTGTGTGCATGCTGTTGCTGCAATTGGTTCTCGTCCGGGCTTATCATGTTACAATTATATATCTCCTTATTACACACGTGATATGTTGTTGGCAACTTGGAGTGGTATAATGCACCCTATTGGTGATTCTGAAGATTGGGTAATTCCTTCTCATATTTCAAGTGTTCGTTGCAAGCCTCCTAGCTGTTTGAAGCGTCCACCTGGGCGTCCTAAAAAGTCAAGAATTCCATCAATAGGAGAATACCGTGGTTCAAAGCACCGAAAGTGTTCTCGTTGCAATGTTGTTGGCCATAATAAAAGACTTGCTCTAATGCTATTCCGATGGCCAAGAATTGATAGTTTTACACTTGTTTTCCCAGCTTTGGACAAGATACATCTTGTAATTTTTTTACACTTAATAAGTTGTACTCAACACTGTTTAGTATTGAACACTATTCTGCTTTTTAAAGCGAAGTGATATGTCATTTGTTTTCTATACATCTTTGTTCTTGCACGTTTTTTGATGATGTATATCATTCGCTTTCTACACATTCATTTATTGTTATGTAGCATATTTACGCCATTTGCTTTGCATTTACACTTTTCCTAGTTCTTACTCAACTTTGGTTATACATCATCAGAATGTATATGTAGCTTTTTATATTCTATATTCCTTTAATATTTGTATAAAGTTAATCCAGATTAATATTTTATTTATATTGCTATTCTCCATCATCTTAATTCTAGTTTGTTATTATATATTCTATTGACATCATCTTTTCTACTGATGCAAACTATTCACTTAGCTATCCTACTTATGTCATTAAGTAAAAGGCATGAATATATCAAATTAGTACTTTAAAATGATAAAACTATTTGTTTCACACATTCAACACCATTTAGCAAAATCGTAATATATAAAATGACATTTAGTTGTATGTAATGTCATCTTTTGACCTCTTTCAATGCACACTTATTTTAATAAAAGAGCCTTTATCATTGAATTGGAATAGGAAATAGATATATACATTACGTCTACAAATGTAACTGAAGTATACATAATTTTGCCAAACTCTAATATATAAAATGGCATTTCGTAGTTTGTAATACCATATTTTCCCCTATTTCCCTGCATATATCTTATTATCAAAGAACACTTATCATTCTATTGAAATAGAACACACAATCACATTTAATCAGAATTATCCAACACAAAACAGTCACATGAATCAAAGTTTAAGCATATTACACATAGTTCCAAATTGACTTCACAAAAAACGAACATTATGACATAAAACCACACATTGTCTGAATGACACATGTCTTGCTACATATGCAGAAACACATCTTGTCATTGTATCATTATTCCCTTATAAACTTTGGCATCTGCACTCCTTTAGCCTCACTCATTCTCTTTTCACTGTACATAACAAGCTCTGTCGCCATTTTTTGCCTAAACATTGGCATTTCATCCGCATCTATTCCATCAAGCTCCATATCCATGATTAGGAATTCAGCAATCTTGAGTACAAACATTCCACAGTCCCCCCTGTAAGCAAATAGAATTCTATATTTAATCACGCATTGAATAATCACCCATTTAATATTGCACAAAACATATTTTAATTTGCATTTCTTACGCGTTAGTCTGTTGTGGGCAGCTTTCTACAGCTTCTATTTGTAATTCTTTCCCTCCCATTGGCTCCTCTCCAGAATTAGCATGCACATTGTAGTGGTCCATTATTTTAGGAAGCAAGACTTTGATGCATGGGATGAATGGTCGGATATCTTTCAGTGAATCTCCCCTTCGAGAACTAGAGTTGTAAACTCTAACCTTTCTGTTCTTGATGTCCAGCACAAGTAACACCCAATGTTGACCAGTGTTTAAAGGGAAGTACACAAATTGGCAATCACACATGTGTAGGGCAAACTTTGATGTACTTCCTTGCACACTGTGCATAATCTCATCATCATCTGCAGCTTCGTGAACAGTTCCTTGACCCTTCAGAATTTTCTCATGTTCACGCCTTAGTATTTGTATAAAGAACGCTCTGTTTGTGGCATACTGTTGTTTGAGTTTGTGTTGAAGCCTTTTGACACTCAAATAGTACATTCCTACTTCCATATGCTGTATAATATAATTCAATATCCATAAATCAGAATATTATTCATATTTATATACATACATACACTTATTAACATCAGACATAATAAAAATGACATTTTCTCCAAATTTTGGTATTATTTTTCTCTAGGTTGCAAGTATTTAGTAACTATAAGGACATCAAATATTTAAATAATTTTGTTTACTTAGAACTTATGTCTTTAGGTTAACCATTTCTATGAATCCACCAATAATTGTTTTCTCATCTTAGATTAAGTTATTTATGTTTCTGTCAATTATGTTCCTTTTGGCATTCTGGTAGTTATATATCTGGCATTCTATGTGTTATTACAAATTGAAATGCACTTATACCTGGTCATTTAGTCACTGCTCGTTGGAATACAGGTTGTATAGCCAAATTTTTGACTCAATTTTTATTATATCCAGCAACATCGGAATGCCATGCATATTTTCTTCATCAGCCCTGTATCGTCTGTCTTTTTCAGCCTTCTTTCTATATTTTAGCATTCCAATGCTTAAAAAGTTTGCCAGTCGCTGCATTTGATCTGCAGGTGGTGTGTCAGTGGGGTCTTCAGAGAACGGGCCATAAATTTTTCTTGAAGGCGGCAAAAATTCTTCGTGTGTTCTTTTCTTTGCCTTTTCCTTCCTTCTCCTTTTAGCATCCGCGGTTTGTCCTGCCGGTGTGTACCTTGTGGGTGATTTAGCAATTCTCTTTTCCCTCAACTGTTAAATTTGGACAAGTTATTATACATTTAAATGAATAAATCTTAATATTTAAAAAATAATTAGTATTTTACCACAGTAGGAGTGTTTGTAGGGGTTTTTCCTTCAGACTTTCTCAGTAATGCCTCTTTTTCAATTAGATCCACACTGTTGCACAGCTCTTTCACAAACTGTGAATTTTCTTGGGATCCCATTCCCCACATATCATAGCTTGTTGCATCATTTGTCATTTGCTTCTCATCATTCACTACTCCTTTTTGTCCTTCCTGATTGTTGACTTCTGTCTGGATTTCTTCCCTCTGCTCTTCTACCTCAGTGCTTGCCTCTTGTTCTTTTTCTCCTATCTTCTCTTCTTCCTTTTTGCAATCTTTTGTTTCATTTTCTTCTCCATGCTCTTGCATCGCAGTCTCGTCTTCTATATCATTTTCAGGCCTCAGCTTTTCTTGATTTCTTTCTTCACCTTCTTTTTGAGATTCAAATCCAAATATGTTAAAATTAGGCATTTCGCTCCCTATCTCATCAACATTCCCCCCTGCCTTTAGCTCCTCACTTGCATTCATTTTTTTTGTCTCACTCTTTTGATCTTTGTTATTTTCAGTCTCCTTCTCCTTCTCAATGTTTTCTATGCTTTTGTCATTTCCCTCATCTTTCTGGCATTCCTCCTCTCTCTCATCTTTTTGTGGTATATTTTCCTCTTCTACCACATTCTCCATGTGTCTTGGCATTCCTCCTCCTTGCTTATTCACTACATATGCTGACAGATCATTCACAATCCGAAAGATTTTAACTAACATCACTGCTTGCTTCTTTTGAACTTTCTTCATTTCTTTCACATCGTTCATTACTTTTGCAGTTCTTGACATTTGCTTCCTCATTGCTCTGATCATTTTATTCCCTCCTGCTTCAACATCACTGTCATCCATGTTGTCCTCAGTTTCCTGTCCCTTATAATCACTATCTTCATCACTGTCCTTTTCTTTTGCAGCTTTCTTTCTTTTTTTAGTTCCTTGCTCAGCAATTTCTTTATTTCCTCTCCCACTTTCCACTGTTTTTGTTAGCCTTTTCAGATTCTTTTTTCGTCCTCTTTGTATTGTTTTTTGTGCCTTTGGAACACCATTTCCATTCTTTCTTTGCACACCTTCCTCAGTCTCCACTCTACCACCATATATGTTATCATTACACAAATTCTGTCCATCTCCTATGTTGACTTCTTGGATCAGTGCAAGCTCCTGCTCCATTGGAACAATTTCTGTCCATTCAAACTGCCAAAAAAGCGGTTAGTAAGATATGTATTTTCAAATAAAATTTAATAATTATATACGGTAAATTGACATACCTTCTCATTGTAGAAGATAAGCTCACAAAAAACTTCCAATGATGGTTTCTTATGGAACGCCCACTTAAGTGTCCTTGGCATTATATCTTCTCTTCCTTCTATGACTTTGCATAAACCGGCTTTTGACAGACTTGGAAAGGTTTCAAATGCCCACACTTGTAATGCAATCATGCACCCAGGGAATGTAACTCTTGTACGTATGCAGTTTTCTAATGCTTCACAGCTTTGTTTCATATAACTTCGCAACTCATTCCACACAACCTCTCCCTATGGGTAAGCTTTAAAGTCCTCCAAATTATCAACCAGATTCAAGTAGTAAGCTTCCATTGGCCTAGCTGTTTGATTTCCTAAGAATCCATGTGAAAGCACATACAGGAGTGCTAACTTGACACCATCATACCTCATTGTCCCTTCATTAGTGCTTTTGTATTTATTTAGCACCTTTAGAATATCATTTCTTGTCACTAATGTCTTTCCTCCAAGATATCGTGTCCAGATATCTCCAGTTGGTTTTTCTGACATAACTGGCTTCACCCCACTCAATTTCAGACCAGTAACTATTGCTAGATCCTGTTTTGTGAAGCTTACTACACTTTTCTTTATATGAAATCTCATTGCATTCTGGTCAACCAACCCATTGACATATCTGACATAGTTAGCTACAAAGGCAAGCTGCAATTGTCCACTAACGTAACTGATATTATCAAAATCAATCAGCCTATAACACCCCGGCCCCGCAGGACCCGAGGTAGTTACTCCAGACCTCTAGTACTGTCCCCACAAACCGCCACTAGCCTTTTCCGCGCACTTTGTCCTCACTCGTGCGCACCCGGAGAAACTTCCCAGGGGCTCACCCATCCCAAGACTACTCCCGTGCAAGCACGCTTAACTTTGGAGTTCTTAGTAATGAGCTCCCTTAAAAGGAGATGCATCTTGTTGGTATGAGTAGTACTATTAATCCATTTATATTAAATCTCAAGTGTTACACAGCCACCCAAACACAGTTGTTCTGAAATCAGCTATTTCCTCTTGGTTTAAAATTTGCCTTACTCTTTCCATGACTTTAAGAAGGTTGCAGAATGAATTGACACGCATGTCATCCAGTTTAGCCAGCATATTCTTCTTGAAGTACCTTGTCATTGTCTATTAATTTATCATTAATATAGAGTTGTGAAAAACTAAAAAAAAAAACTTAAAAAGTACTATAGAATGCCATCAATATGTCATTTTTTTACTTAAAAAAATACAAATGTTCCATAGCATCCTAATGGCTTTCATATAACTTCCAAATTGACAACAAAATGCTCACATCAGATTCTGCACTTCTCTACCTAACAGCAAGCTAACAAAATCTATCTTCCAAACACATTTACTTATGGCATTCGCATTCCATCATATAATCCAGACAAGTGGCATTCACTTATAATCCAAGTACATTTTATGCAAAAAAAAAAAAAAAATCAAAAGTATCACACCAATATGCCATGTACACATCACTTGCACAATCTCAAATGTCATGATTCACTACACAATGCTCACATCAGATTCCATACTTCTCTATCTAAAATCAACCTAACAAAATCTATCTTCCAAACACATTTACTTATGGCATTCGCATTCCATCATATAATCCAGACAAGTGGCATTCACTTATAATCCAAGTACATTTTATCCAAAAAAAATCAAAAGTATCACATCAATATGCCATGTACACATCACTTGCACAATCTCAAATGTCATGATTCACTACACAATGCTCACATCAGATTTCATACTTCTCTATCTAACATCAACCTAACAAAATCTATCTTCCTAACACATTTACTTATGGCATTCGCATTCCATCATATAATCCAGACAAGTGGCATTCACTTCTAATCCAAGTACATTGTATGCAAAAAAATCAAAAATAACACACCAATATGCCATGTACACATCACTTGCACAATCTCAAATGTCATGATTCACTACACAATGCTCACATCAGATTTCATACTTCTCTATCTAACATCAACCTAACAAAATCTATCTTCCTAACACATTTACTTATGGCATTCGCATTCCATCATATAATCCAGACAAGTGGCATTCACTTATAATCCAAGTACATTTTATCCAAAAAAAATCAAAAGTATCACATCAATATGCCATGTACACATCACTTGCACAATCTCAAATGTCATGATTCACTACACAATGCTCACATCAGATTTCATACTTCTCTATCTAACATCAACCTAACAAAATCTATCTTCCTAACACATTTACTTATGGCATTCGCATTCCATCATATAATCCAGACAAGTGGCATTCACTTCTAATCCAAGTACATTGTATGCAAAAAAATCAAAAATAACACACCAATATGCCATGTACACATCACTTGCACAATCTCAAATGTCATGATTCACTACACAATGCTCACATCAGATTTCATACTTCTCTATCTAACATCAACCTAACAAAATCTATCTTCCTAACACATTTACTTATGGCATTCGCATTCCATCATATAATCCAGACAAGTGGCATTCACTTATAATCCAAGTACATTTTATCCAAAAAAAATCAAAAGTATCACATCAATATGCCATGTACACATCACTTGCACAATCTCAAATGTCATGATTCACTACACAATGCTCACATCAGATTTCATACTTCTCTATCTAACATCAACCTAACAAAATCTATCTTCCTAACACATTTACTTATGGCATTCGCATTCCATCATATAATCCAGACAAGTGGCATTCACTTCTAATCCAAGTACATTGTATGCAAAAAAATCAAAAATAACACACCAATATGCCATGTACACATCACTTGCACAATCTCAAATGTCATGATTCACTACACAATGCTCACATCAGATTTCATACTTCTCTATCTAACATCAACCTAACAAAATCTATCTTCCTAACACATTTACTTATGGCATTCGCATTCCATCATATAATCCAGACAAGTGGCATTCACTTCTAATCCAAGTACATTGTATGCAAAAAAATCAAAAATAACACACCAATATGCCATGTACACATCACTTGCACAATCTCAAATGTCATGATTCACTACACAATGCTCACATCAGATTCCATACTTCTCTATCTAACATCAACCTAACAAAATCTATCTTCCAAATACATTTACTTATGGTATTGTTATTCCATCATACAATCCAGGAAAGTGGCATTCACTTATCAATATAACATTAACCTAATAAATCTATATGACAAATTCTGATATCTGGCATTTGTATTCATGAATGATTAGTGAACTTGCATTTTATGAAATCCATATATAATACACTGAATGTCAATCCGATTAAATGAAACAAGGAGATATCATGGAATATATATGACATTCAAATGCTTTTACGAATATTAAATCTTCTACTCATACATACCGTTTTGGAATTGATTCTGATCTCTAGTGAACTCCGTGTGTCCAATTGGAAATCAGAGTCCTCCTTTTCGTCGTCATTTTGGAAATCAGAGGCTTCCATTTTCGTTCAACCTTCGAACAGAACTAAACGTTGTCTATGCTCTAGTTCCACTTCGTCGTCGGAAGAGTTTTTCGCGAGCTAGTAGATTGCTCTTTGCATTTATATCTCTTTGTTTAATTTTGAATACCTCGATGCTTTGGAAATCAATTTTCGGCGCGCTCGAGTTCCGTGTCAGTTTCTAAGAGGAAAGTGGGAACGGTAGTTTCCGATTCCCTTTACGTGGCTGGAGGTTATTTTTGGAAGTTTGGTTTCTTTTTAGTCCTACGCGACACATGTTTAATTGGGACTCCTATTTTTGCAATTTGATTGTTATTTAGTCTTATTTGGGTAAATTTCCCTTTTTCTTTATTTAATGAATAAAATTAATCGAAAACCAATTTTTTAATATTTCAGAAAATTAGACGATCAAAAAAAATATATTTCAGAAAATTAAGTTAATTTAGTCTCTTCTTTAAGAATTGCACCAATATCAATCGATTCACTATTTTAGAGTCGTTTGGTAACCCCGTAATTTCAGCATATCAGCCTTATCAGCAACTCTTTTATCAAATATATAATAAAAAAATAAGTAAGGTTAGAGTTATATATCTGAATGAAATGACTGAAGTTATGTAAATGATCATTTTAGTTATTTTCATTAATTTCTCTCTCTCTATTTGATTAATAAAATTTATTTCAAAGATAAATTTCTCACAATTTAGCAATACATCTACTTTACCCGTAATTTCATCAATTTCGGTAGATTAAATCCATTTAACATTATCAAATGCGTTCATAAAGTCATTCTGTGTTAGTCTTGTATAATTTGTTATTGTTTGTTTGGGTTCAATTTGATCTTAATTAACAGGCGGATTGCATATTATTCACAAGTGTTCACTTGAACACCTAAAAAAATGAAAAGATGCACGGAAACGCGAAAATCATGAGGAAACGGGAAACGAGAAACGTCATATTTTGCTCAAAAAAGGCTTATTTGGAGAGTTTCCAAAGAGTTTCCGGGTGTTTCCGAAACGGGAAACGTACTCTTTCTCGAGAGTTTCCGTGCTACATAGTATATGTGACATCGTAAAACTGATTCATCTAGTCTCGCGTTCTCTATATAATTTACAACTGATAAGATTTGATCTAGTCTGATCTGATCTGGTCTAGGCTAGGACTACACACATCTGAATCTCTTACTAATCGCTTCACAACTTTACATGACTATCAAATAAGGAATCACTAACCAACGTTTAGGAAATGAACCAACCGATTTTTATACTCAAATCGAGCTAATAATACGTTCTACAACCCGAATGCGGCCTTGAGTAATTTAACCATCGTTTTCTTTCATGCAAGTATGTAACCACTAACCAACGCATATCGGAACTATATAGTAGCAAAATAAGCAGAATATTATAAGCAGAATATTACTCCCTGCCTATCTTGTCACACTTTCATTTTTTTGGTGTATCAAATTTGTTGTTTCTTTTCCTTCTTTGGAAAGAATTCCACTAAAAAAGCAGCCACAGTATCACTATAGTACCGCTACAGATATTGAGTGAGTACGATTTTTTATTTAACTATTTGCTCAATGAATGTGATCAACCGTTTTTCTCTTGAAAAATCAAACATATTTGAGCATATGAATAAATAAAAACGAGTGTGGTAAAATTGAGAAACAATTTCAGAAAAATTTTCCGTATCTATTAAGCTTCGTGAGCTGAGTTTATATACAATTGATTACACAAATATTAGCCGCTACGTACTAACCGTATTAGAGTTTAACTCTTATACGTAAGTGGGAGTGTTAATCCAATAACAACACAACAACTATTTACATATATGTGATAAGATATTAATTAAATAATAAACAATAAAGTAGAATAGATGGACATGTGCGATAATGGTATGCATGCAAAAGAATAGAACGCCAACACCCTCCCTCAAGATGGAGCATGGGGGTCATGAATGCCCATCTTGGCAAGAAGATAATGAAATTGAGTAGCTCCCAAAGCTTTAGTGAGTAAATCCGCTAATTGTTCATGAGTGGATTTATAAGATGGAATAATATCACCGGAGCGTACATGATCGCGAATAAAATGACAATCAAGCTCGATGTGC